AGGCTAGCCTGCCCCAAGTGCATGCCAGTGAATACTTTCCAGCTAAACGTGGAAGTTTGTCTAGTGAGTTCTGAGCCATGCACAGGTAATGTCTCACACCAGCACTGTTTACCTCTGCAGTGAAATAAGTTGCTGATTATGCAACAGTAGATTAAAGGGCTTCCAATATCTTTATTGGGTACAAGATACACAAACAGAGCCTGGTACTTCTCTTCAAGGAAACAAGAAGTGAAAGTAAATCTAAATAATCAAGGGAGAACTTGGCGCCTTATCCCCTTTTTTGCAGTCTGATCAGGTTTACAGATTACACTGCCCTGGGTACATTTGTGTAAATACAGTGGTACCGTGCAAGCTCATATCCTTGCAGGGACAATATCTCAATCTTGCCCTCTCTCTTCTTGCATTACCAATACCAATTTGACCTTTGCTCCTGATGGATTGTGTGGCTGGAGAGGTACTTTGTAACTCCTGCCACGAGCTACAAGCAGAAGGGTAATGGGGTTGTGTTGTCTCCTTGCTACTCTTGGCACAGCTGAGCAGCACAGGAGAGATGTGAGACACTTTAAGTCCAGATCCTAGACTTATCAAGAGGCTTCCCTTGGTGTGACAGGAATGGGACCTGACACCTGGGTGGGCAGCATTCCCTTCTTGTGTCTCATAGGGTTTTTGCTGCTGCCCATCATCCCAGCAACCATCTTCCTTGTTTGTTTTTTTTTGCTTTTTCTTACTTTCTGAGCTTTGAGGAAGGGTATACGGATTGCCTTTCTGAGCTTTGAGGAAGGGTATACGGATTCCCTAAAAAGGGAATTTGCACTTCCCTTTGCAGCTGATGTCCCAGTGAAGGTGGCAGATCCTTTCTGTTTTTTTTTCTTTGAAGTGGCTACCTTCCTGAAGGAATGAAAGCATGACCTTTCAGGTACCCTTCCTCTGGGAATCAGATCCCACTTGTAACTCTTTATGGGCTTCCAGTCCTGCAGGATAGGAAGCACTGCAGAGGTGAAGAAGATCTGTAGATCATCTGTTGAGTCTTCACCATGGATCCTCAGGCCACAGTTTAGGAACTGCGGCTTTCAAAGGATGGTGATGCAAAAAGGTAGAGAAAGAGTTTATTGCCTGGAGAACTGGGCTCTGGAGCAGAGCCAAGTTCCTATGCTTATGCAATAAGAATAAACAAATGGTCAAAATCCCGCAGGAAGCAGAGCCCTCTGACACATTGCAGGATCTGAGCCACTAACAACACCAACTTCTTCCTTTTCCTTTATCTGAGGCTTCAATTTCTGCTGGCTTCCCCTCCTGTCAGGCCGCAGCAAGCTGCCATCCTGGCAATGGTGGCAAATAAATTGTAGCATGCTTCCTTCCATTTCACAGAATCACAGAATCAGTTTGTTTGGAAGGGACCACAATGGGTCCAGTGGTCCAACCTCCTTACTGAAGCAAGGCCGCCCTAGAGCACATGGCTCAGCATTGTGTCCAGACAGTTCCTGAATACCCACAGTGGGGAAGAATCCACAACCTCTCTCAGCCTTTCCTCGTAAGTGAGGTGCTCCAGTCCCTTAATCATCTTTGTTGCCCTTCACTGGACCCAGACCGGGAGCTCCATGTCCCTCTTGTCCTGAGGAGGACAGAACTGGACACAATACTCCAGATGTGGCCTCACGAGGGGTATTTTTATCCACCCTTGGATATGGGTCCTTGAATTCAATGTTCTCTTTAGCCAGGCTACAGGCAGGAGTCTGAACTTCTCGACTGCCCCAGTGCCCCTGAAAACATAGTGACACCTACTGCAGGGTATCAGGGTTGCCTAGGTAACAGCAACTGAAGCAAACGTCCCATTGTGCTGGAACAGCCCAAGAATAATTTCTGGTAGGTTTTGGCTCAGGTTAGGTAGCCTGACCCCAAGGGTGGGCATCATTCCTGACCAGGAAGCAGTCCTTGACAGAGCTGATTTCCTAGCATGGATGTAACTGGAGGGTCCCTGCTCCTCTCTATGCAGTCCTGGGTATTTGTTTCTGCACTGTGTTTCTGATAACGCTCTTGGTGTGTCATGGTGTATTACTACCTTTATCTCCCTGAAGGGCGAGGCCAGATGGGTGTAGAGAGGTTCATCCTTCAACTCTGCACACAGCAAAAGCATTTCCCCAGATCCTTCAGCTACCTTGCTTGCTCATGCCTCTTATCCACCCCCTGCTGGGAGATCTGGCCCTGAAACAGCACAAAGGGGATGCCCAGCCCCGCAGTCCCCAACAGCCCCAGCACAGCCCCTGTGACTCTGCCAACACTGCCCCCATCATGCACGTGGCCAAGACCCTGGGAAAAGCCTCTGGGAGAGAGGTGCAGGTCCTTGCCCAGAGTAGCTCAGTGCAACTCTGTCAGAATTTCTGAAGCATTGTCTGCTTCATGCTTAGAGGATGTTTTTACTTCACAGCACTAGCTGAGGGATGTGAATGGAGTCACCCTGCTGCAGGTAGGAGAGGACATGGTTTTCAGTTTGCTCCAGAATCCCTGTCTTGCTGGTTATCTTGAGACTACTCAGCACTGACATGGAAGCGGGGTTCAGCCTCTAGGCATCTGAGATGGGCCCTAAAGTAAGCTGGAGGGGTAGGAGGGTGGCTGCTGCCCATGGCAGGCTGTCACCAATTTGAGATGCCATGCAGAGGCAGGAAGCAACTGCTTGGTGAAAAACACCCCCAGAACCTTGAACCTACAGGGAAGAACCAGAACTGCTCCCAGGACCTGGACTGGAAAACTGGAATCAGAGACACATCAAGGCAAAGATATGACATCCTCATGTAGGGGGACTTGTCCATCCCTTGGTGTCCTCAGGCCAAGAGTGGGGGTCAAACCCTCCTGCATCTGTAAATATCAGCTTAGAAGAGAAGTAGCTATGTCTGTGCTTAACTGCTGCTCCGCTGCCTTCAGAGGCTGTGAGTTTGGCAAAGAGATGGGGAAGCCTCAAACCACAGGGATGCACCACAGCCCACACCACCCATGTTGTCACTGCTTCTGCCCTGATCCCATGTCCCTAGGCATCAGCACATACCAACACAAGGGCTGGCAGGGAGCCCACCTGGAAATGGCCAGAAGGGCTTTCTACCTGCTCGGCTTGTGGATCAGTGGCTGTCATGATGGGTCACTGGTTTGCTGCCCTGAGCCACGAACTGTGGACTGGCTCTTGACAGCTCCCTCAGTTTCTGTTCCCCTGACACTCTCTTCATTTCATTTTCCACATTTTTCAGTATGACTATAAATAGCCTTGTGATGGACTTCCCAGACCTCATGGAAGAAGAGGCAATAACTTCTTCCTGAAGGAAGTGGCCGGAACACCTGAAGGACCCTTCTCACCCAAGTGTAAATGATACTAAACAATGCGCCCAGGTAGGAAACTGAGGCAGTGAGTGCAGAGGAAGCTGCAAGGAGCAGAGCTCTGCATCACTTTGTGGAGGGAATACAGCTGCTGCCATTAGTGAATTAATGCTTGGTGGGGGGCTGCCATTGGGAACCCCACTGTTGGGGTTCTCTGATGCTCCTCAGCACTGCTGAGCTATGGGGCCACAGGCTTGCCACAAAAGCAGGCAGCATGCTGTGAATGGCCGAGTCCCACAGCGGGTCTCCAAGGAGTCCTTTGAGTGGGATGTTTTACTTCTCATTCTGCAGCTCTGCACCGGAGATGGCTGCCCATCCCCTCCAGCCAACCAGAGATCTTCATTTCAGAAACAAAATCCTCCTCTGAAGAGACTGTTTTCGTCCTCCTACATGTTGGACTGGGGTGGGTCTGCAGGTAGACCTGTATCCCGTGTCTTTACCCTTGAATGGTGTCAGAAGCTGCTGATCTCACAGCAGCTGGGGTTTTATCCTTCCACAGATCCCCTCCTTCACACAGGACAGACACAGCTGAGATGACACACTTTTCTCTTGACATTGCCTAATTGGCTTGATTTGTCCATATTAAACATTTACCATCCACAGTTAGCGCCTTCATTAGCTATGACACATCACGTTTAACTGCAAAACAGTATTTCAGCAGTGCCAGGGCCAGCAGCAAACACTCGGGAAACGTCTGCACGCGGTTAATACAGAGACTACAGGAAAATATGGGTCAGAATTCAAACAAAAGCACACAAGATTGAAAACACATCAGATCTGGCAGAAGACCTTAGACGAGTGTGCACATCCACATGCACAACCTTCATCCCTGCCTCCTTTATTTACACCAGCATAATGACTTGCCTGTGGACACAGGGGCTTGCAAGGAGGAATGAGCACACATTTGGTTTGCAAACCACAGTGTAATTAATTCCTAGCAAAGCTTCTTGGCTTCAGTCTGTAGCTGTGGAAGTTCAAGGTGCTACCCAAGGTTAACCAGATGCCTCTCTTGCATGCTCAGGGTGCTCAGTCCCACCAGCACAGGGCCAGAGATGGGTTTTCCAGCACCAGGGAGAAAACAGGCAGGTGGGACAGGAAAAAACCTTAACCAATTACAGAAAAAGCAAGATGAGGAGCATGCCGGGGTCCGTGCCGCCCCCAGCCCCGCTCCGAAGCAGCCTCATGCCCTTCCTCTCCAGGGCTTTGCCCCAAGGTGTTTCTCAGTCTCCTCTCACAAGGACAGACGTAATTCCTCCAAAGGCTGTTTTGAAGGCAATGTTTGCCATCTAGTGGGAAAACAGGGTCTGCGTATCTCTCTTGCCTGCACAAAGACGGGGCTTCGGATTGTCTTGGCAGTAGTTAGGGGCCACCTTTCCCCTCGCCTATAGACGAGCTGCGGCTCCCACGCCCTGTGGGGAGTTCCGAGGAGGAGGAGGGAAATCTTGAGAGGTGGTGCTGGCTCAGCTTCCTGCAGGCAGCTCGCCACGCTCTCTGCTGCCAGCCATAGATGCCTGCCTGACTCCAAGTCCTTGGAGTAGTCCCTGGCTCAGCTGGTGCCCAGCATAAGTGGGGAGCTGAAAAAAGTGCTCTGGAGTAGGGGAAAAAGCACCATATCCTGGATAAATGATGCCTTTCAGGTCAGCAAACCCCTGGGGATTGGCACCTTCCAGGCTGGCATCCTCTCAGGCATCACTGTCTTCCAGGTTAGCATCCTCCTGGGAATCAGTACTTTCCAGGTTGGCATCTCCAGCATTCCAGTGGCAATCAGTGCCTTCCAAGTCAGCATCCTTTCTGGCATCAGTGCCTTCCAGGTCAGCATACTTTCGGTGAGCAGTGCTTTCTTTCTACTTAGCTTTCTTCTGGGAATCAGTGCCTTCAAGGTCCACAGAGCCTCCTGCAGATCAGTCATCATCCTAGGAAGGTATTCCAGGTGTAGACACAAGCCTGGCACTTTTAGCACCTTACTACCTCCAGATCCATCCGCACAGAGGTAACTATGCCAGTATCAGTGCCCAGCATGTATGTGGAGCTCAGCTGCTGCCACATCTGGTGGATCTTCCAGTGTGGAACAAAGGCTGGGAGTTGCTTCTGCACTGGCAGGGCTCATGTGCTGTAACCCTGCAGAGCCATATGAGACTCCCAGGGGCACATTTAACTCTGATCCATCATTTTCATGATTCAGAGAAAGGCACAGCCCTACAGGACTCTGTCTGCCGAGCACCTGCTCCACGCAATCCTGAAAATGTGGGGAGAACTGGAGTGCCCCAGCTGGTGGAGAAGCTCTTGCATAGGGCTGGGCCATGCTTGTTCTGCCCATGCAGACAAAGCAGCTGGTGTGGCAGTGTATGAAGGAGACCATAAGGTGCAGCTGGTGGGAGGACAACAAGCACAGAGGATCCCTATTCCTCCCAAGGGAATCTCCCAAAGCGTATTCTGCTCTTTTTCAGTCCCTGCAGCTCTGGGGGCAGCTGAAGAAGATGGAATTTCTGCCATGGGGAAGGAAGATCATCCCTGTGCAAGTGACATGGCAGCATTGAGGATGTGTGGTCCTCATGTCACACAACAGAAATGTGTGCAGGGGAACATGCAGTGGATGCCGGTGTGCATGTATCCCCTTTTGCCACCACATTTCATGGCAGGCACATGCAACACTGGGAACTCTTGCTTGGACAATGTGTTCCATGTGTTGCTAGTGTGGGAAAAAAAAAAGCTGTCAGGAAAAGTTGTGGGCTCAGTGAGTGCATCCAAAGAGCTGCTGCTGCTCTGAGGAGGGAGCAGTCATTTCCTGAGAGCATCATGAGCAGCAGTGTTTGGGCAGAGCTCAGCTGCTGGCTTTAGCCTCCCAGCATCTCTATGGCCAGGTGCTTGGCATTTCCTGTCTGTGAAAGACCAAAAGCATCCTAGAGACGGGGAATGGGCCAGCCCCAGCAAGCAAAAGAAAAAAATTACCTATTCCCAGAGGGAGAAGCTGACAATATGGCAGCAAGAGTTGTCTCAGGCCTCTCCACATCTGTTTGCATGCCAACACATCTGGC